TTTCACATCATCTGCAAAGAGCAGTTTTACAAGCCCTGGTTTTAGATCGCTTATTTCCACTGTGACTGCCCCACAGCCAGGGGGCCCCGGGGGGCGCCCCTGTCACCTGGGGTCCTGCACACAGCAGCGCTGCCCTCTGGCAGTCAGGCAACGGTTGGCCGTGAGGCTCACGGAGCCTCCGCACATGCAGCTCTGACGCAGCCGTAGCCACACATGCAGACGGGGCCAGACCGCGTGCCCTGTCGCTCCCCAGGGCTCGCCTCCGGAGCTTGGACTGACGTGGTGCCCTGCCCGGTGGGCCTCAGCCAGCCACCTCTCGGCCCGTCCCGTCTCCAGGTGGGCGCCAGCGTGGCCCTGGGACGGGCGGCCCCCAGTGGCCCGGAGCCGCCCCTATCTGACAGTTGGGGCCTTGCCAGGCAGGAGCCGGGTGGTTTCCAGCTTAGGGCTATTTTGGGGAGCTGCTGAGTTTTCCCGGTGGGTACAGGGAGGGCCAGGCACAGGCGAGTAAGCCTGAGGGTGCTCTCGCTGCCCCTGTGTGCCGGGGGTGGCCCTGTCTCTGCACCGGCCCCTCGGGGCTTCTGCCCGCCGCTGGGTGGCATCTGGCGCTGTGGAAGCCCTGTGTCCTGCCCAGCTGGAGCTTTGCTGGCCCCCACGGTGGCCTGGGGGCGTCCCTGCTGGGGGCCGACCTGCCGCGACCTTCCGCATCTGTGGGTCGCTGGGAGCCGGCTCCCACGTGGCCTGGTCCCAGCACCGCCCCATTTCACAGCCCCTCTGGGCTCCTGCTGCCCCTCTGTCCTACTGAGGCTTCACCTCTTCGGAAACCTACTGGCCACCTTCTTCTCCCCTGCCCCCAGCACCTCTTTCCAGGCCTGGGCAGGCTGACTCTGGTGCTCTGGGGCACAGGGTTCGTCTCTCTACGCAGCCCCCAAACTGCCAGGTGCGGTGGTCCGGCACCCGCATGGCGCTGTGTGGACGCCAGCTGGGCCGGGAGCCTCAGCACAACGCGGGTGGCCGCAGGGGCTGTGGCGGAGGGCCCGCGGAGGCCGCTGCCCTGGCCTGAGTGGGGGCAGTGGTGCCGGAGGCCGGGGGCGCAGCTGGCTCCTGGCCTCTGTGCCCAGGGTGGAGGGGGGCAGGGTGCTCGGGCGCACCCCCAGTGCCTAGGCAGCCCCAGTGCCCTGGGTTTGGGCCTGAGGGCCTCGATGGCAAGCCGGGAGTTTGGCCACCCCGTCCCTCCCCCACTTCTGCGGGGCTGCGCCTGGCCCTGGCCACCCTAGGGGCGCTGCGGCCAGAGCCGGCTGCTTGGGGGCAGAGCGCCCCGGGGGGTCTGGGGGGGCTCCGGGGCGGGGGCGTTACCTTCTCCGTCACCGATTTCTGCTCTGCAGCCTCCGGAGCCAGAAAGAAAGAGTCGGGAGCCCCTGAGAGAAAACGTGAGCCCTGAGCACCCCCGCGCCCCAGGCCCGCGG